AGAAGAAGAAGAAGAAGAAGAAGAAGAAGAAGAAGAAGAAGAAGAAGAAGAAGAAGAAGAAGAAGAAGAAGAAGAAGGGCAGAGGCAGGTGGATCTCTGAGGTTTTAAATTAAAACAACAGACTGTAATGGTACTAAACACATAGAGTGATCTGAAGCGCCCCACAGCCATTGCTCCACAACCTAAGGAAACCATTCAGAGCTCGCTCTTCCCCATTTGTCTGTTCTTTGGGAAGCCCTACAGAACAATTTATTTCTACTTATGTATTTATTTGTTCTGAAAAAGGATTTCATTGGGTAGCTCAGGATGACGTCAAATCCGCGGAAATCCTCCTGCCTCAGCTTCCCGAATGCTGGGATTACTATAGAGTACCACCATGGCCGGTGCACGAATTTGGAATTCCTGGTATCTAGAGAAGTGATTGGCAACGAAGCTCAAAAGGAGCTGTTGAGCAAGTTAATAAAGACAAAAAGCAATGTGTCTATGTCTCCAATTACTTCCGAGGCCGCTGGGAAGAGACCCAAAATCTTTCGTGGCTACAAAATTCAACCACAGCTTTCAACTCCCAGAGGCTGCGAAGAGGCCCAGGATTTGTACGTCATATAGCTGCGCCACTGGGTGGGGGGAGAGGTGTGGAGAGGTCCGGTCACGTGGCTGACGGGGCGGAGCCTCCAGTTCATATCCCAGTGTCCCTTGTACTTCCTTCCTTTTTGACTCTTTCCGGGCGTCCAAGATGTCGAAGCGAGGTGAGAATTTAGGCTTGGGGATCCGCGGTCATCCGCCGCGCGGGGCGGCCGGGCGGTTCTGTGGCGACGGCCCCGGGCTGCGGCGGGGCTTTGCAGTTCTCGGGCCGGAGAGGGAGAGGATGGGTGCCGCGGCGGCCTTGCGAGAGCCCCGAAAGCGGAGGGCGGCGGACTTGGGGCGTTGAGCTGGCAGGAGCGGAGCGTGGGGCTGGCCGGAGCCCGTGAGATCGGCCCGCGCACGGCTGCAGCAGTGGGGTGGTAGTCGGCCTGCCGTCGACCTCCTCCGCCTTTCTGGGGTCCATAATTTCTTGTAAAAGTTGAGGCGAGGATGGAGATTCCAGTCCCCGTATCCTGGACGGAAGGACGGTAATGTGGGGGTAGCTGGGGAGAGGCTAGTATTGCAAAGCTTGTGCAATGCATTCATTGTTTGGCAAGGTGAGGGGAACTGTGAACCCTCTAAAAAGTGGCCGCTTTATCTTGTTTCTTTTCCCACCCCGCAGGACGTGGTGGGTCCTCCGGAGCGAAATTCCGGATTTCCCTGGGTCTCCCCGTTGGAGCTGTGATCAACTGTGCTGACAATACAGGTGAGGCCTTTGTCTGTGCCCGTCACCACCATCCCCCTTTTAAAAGCACTCAGTGGGCCTTTTGCTGGTGACCCACTGAGCCGTCAAGAAGGGGCAGAGTGAAAACACCACTTTTGGGTGAAGTGGCAACGGGTGTTGTTTACTTCAATCGGTGTTGTGACAAGGTGCTTGTGAAAGATGGCTTGCTTACATGTTCAGTGGGTGCTAAGGGGCTTGGGGAATATTTAAGAAACAAATCGCCTTTGTTTTGTTTCTTTTGGCTTTTCGGGCTGAGTTACTTGCTGTGTGGTCCAGGCTGACGATAAACTGGCAATACCCCCATCTCTACATACAAGATTGAGTTTTGTCTGTGTCTGTTTTGTTTTCTGTAGGTGCCAAAAATTTGTATATCATCTCTGTGAAGGGCATCAAGGGACGACTGAACAGACTTCCTGCTGCTGGCGTGGGCGACATGGTGATGGCCACAGTTAAGAAAGGCAAACCCGAACTAAGGAAAAAGGGTGAGTGCTCGTGCAAATAAATGTCATGTTATAGTAGACAGTTGAAGTTCTCCCTACATTGGAAAGGGATTAATTTTGTGACTGCCAAAATGTCTACGTGACTTTTGAGAAGCTGTTGATCAGTGCCTCTGCTCCTGCTGTTTTGAATGCTTTTGGGACATGGTTTGACTTTGTCAACATGAGCTGGGCCTCAGTATTGAGCTGACAGGCATCGCCCATCTCAGTTTCCCAGGTGCCACCAAGAGGACATGCTCTTTTCTCCAGGGAGTTCCAGCATCCCTTGGTATATTACAAATGTGGAGTGAGGGTTGTGACGTATTATAGAAACACTGTGCTCTCAGTTTCCCCAAAACCCAGTATACTCTTAACATTTCCTTAGGAATCTTAACTTTTGGACAAGGATGTATCTGCAAGGGTTTGTCCTCCTCTCAGAACACTTCCAGGGTCTTTTAGGTGGCTCAGGAAGCTGTCAGAGAAGAGCAAAGCGTGTGCCCCTTTGTGGGTAGGATAACAGTTCGGTGTGCTGTTGTCTGCTCCACTGGTGGAGACATACTTAGCTTCAGAGTTGGGAGTCTCCAATTCTTTTGTGGGTGGGTGTCAAGCGGGGTTCTGGTGAACATTACTATCCCCCACCCCCACCCCCCGTCCTGATCTGTGGCTTTAAAGGTAGTCAATCTCTGGGGATTCAGTCCTATCTTGAACATAAAAGATAGTGCTTTGGTTTGAATATGTAGGAAAGAGGGCTTTTAAATTGGGTAGCTTTAAGTGGAAACTATGCTAGGTGGCAGAGGCCTTCATTCCAGCTGTTCTGGAGACCGGGGCAGAAGGGTTCTAAGTGTAAGGCTTGTATGGACAGCTCAAAACGCTAGAGCATTTGGGCTGGTGAGCAAGGCCTTGATCTATTCCCTAACACAGAAAGAGGTTGTCTAGCTCCTAGCTTCTTAGGCTTTGAGGAAATGGTCATGGTTCATATTGTTGTGTCCTGTGTGACTTCAGTAAGGACCCAAAGTGATCCAGTCTTGCTTTCTCCTGCATTAATGGGACATTACCACATGGTAACTACATTTTAAGTGATTGTGCAGTTTCCTAAAGTACCTGCACTTTGGGCTGTGTTCTAGGTTTTGATCCATTAAACACACTAGGAAAGCTCCTTGATGCCTACTTTTTAAAATGCAAATGCCATTTTCTCAGAAGTGGTTAATGGACAACCTGGACAGAATCAAAACTTAAACTTAGTAAGTGGAACTACTTCATCAATAGGCAAAAGAATGGATGGCATGTTATTTCTGTCCATCACTGTATAATCTTGCCCCAGTAAAAGAACATTTCCTATCCTCCTGTTTTTGTTTTTTTTTTTGTTTTTCGAGACAGAGTTTCTCTGGCTTTGGAGGCTCTCCTACAACTAGCTCTGTAGGCCAGGCTGGTCTCGAACTCACCAGATTTGCCTGCCTCCTCTCAAGTGCTGGGATTAAAGGTGTGCGCCACCACCACCCAGTTTACTTAATACATTTTTACTTGAGTGTGTTAATATTTGTAGGACAAAGTGTGTGTACTTTGTAGGGCAAGCCCTCTCAGCAGGCTATTATTGAAAGCCACATTCTTAGAGTGCTGGGTTGCAGGCATATTCTCCCACATCTGTTAGAGTACACACACTCTACATCACCCTTGCATGCCAGGCAAATACTATCAATTGAGCGATGGGCTCCGATTTCTGGCCCTGTGGTTCTAACTTGCTAGATAAGAGGGGAAGGTGTAGCAGACAGTGTGTACATTTATATTTTGGAATTACCCTTAGTTTCTGCACAAAGGTGATGGTTGTTTGATGGGTGGTGATTGCATTGATTCTTTGTGGGTAAGTGATGGGAACCTAATGCAAAGTGACATCCTGTGGAGAGGTTTAGAGCACTTTCTGCTTTTGTGCTGGTGCTAGGGCTTCTCCGGGTAATAACTGCTGCCCTGTTCTTCCTTCTTAGTCCATCCAGCAGTGGTAATTCGACAACGAAAGTCGTATCGAAGAAAAGATGGGGTGTTTCTTTATTTTGAAGACAATGCAGGGGTCATAGTAAACAACAAAGGCGAGATGAAAGGTACGAAGCAGTTGCAACCATCTTGTGTATCTCTGGCTGGGTTACTAAGGCTGCTAGGAGCCCTCTGTCTAACCTGTCTCTCTTTTCTGTGCAGGCTCTGCTATCACAGGTCCAGTTGCAAAAGAATGTGCAGACTTGTGGCCCAGGATTGCATCCAATGCAGGCAGCATTGCATGATTCTCCAGTGTATTTGTAAAATATATTCATTAAAAAGTCTTTGCCCCGTGAGCTCTTTTTTCATGATAAAACCTTCACCAATATTAGGTTTGTAAAAAAAAGGACACTGCTAAATGTCAACTTTGTATGAACTTGTAAAACTTTCTAGTTTCAGTAAGGAATATCTCTGGGGACTGGAGAAATGGATGGGTCAGCTATAAAGACCACTGCTGTTCTTCCAGAGGACCCAGATTCTAGTTTCAGCACCACACAAGTTGGCTGTAATTCCAATTAAGAAAAAAACCAATGCCCTCATTCAGGCATCTTTTAGCACCAGGCACAGAAAAACATGCAAGCAGAAACACTCTTGCGTGTACAGTAAGTTGAGTGGTATGTTCTGATAACAAATGACCCTGTGTAGGTATGCTTCAGCATACTAACATCCTACAGGGATGTGCATTACTATCTTGCCATGTGGGTGCTGAGAATTGAACCCTGATTCCTCTGGAAGAGCACTCTGTTAACACCTGTGTCATCTCTACACACACCCATCTTTTTGGTATTTCTAGACAGGGTTTCTCCGTGTAACTTTGGAGCCTATCCTGGCACTGTAGACCAGGCCGGCCGCCTCTGCCTTCCCAGTGCTGTGCCACACTGCCTGGCCTATTTATTTATTTATTTATTTATTTTAAAGAGTGGGAAAGCAGTATCCACACAATGATGCAGGTATTTGAAGTCTTTTTCTACTTATAATTGTAAACAAGCAGATACCTAAGTTAAAGGCAAGCCCTATCATGACTAAGCTTTTCAAATTTAAGGCAAAGTCTTATTATTTGTAGCCTTTTTTTTTTTTTAAGATTTTATTGTGTATATAACATTCTGCATACCAGAAGAGGGCACCAGATCTCATAACGGATGGTTGTGAGCCACCATGTGGTTGCGGGGAATTGAAGACTGCTGGAAGAGCAGTCAGTGCTCTTAACCTCTGAGCCATCTCTCCAGCCCCTGTAGCCTGCTTTTGCTCGATGTAAATACCATGCCTAGCCTAAACTTTCTGAGGTTTACCTTGGGTGTATTTTAGAGTGTACATCTGTATACCTTAGACCTGAAGGTGCTCAGATCCTCTAGAACTGAAAATTACAGTGTGGTGTCTGGGAATCGAAGCCAGGCCCTCTGAAGAGTAATCTTAAATGCAGAGCCATCCAACCCCAGTTCAGCTACCTTGATGGTGCTGGGATTACAAGACATGCCTACACTTGGCATACCATTTTCTCTAATGTTGAAAGGTATTTATTACAGTGAACAGAAAAGTCCTTAGCTGTGTTTTGTACATGTGATCTGGAAGAGGCAAAAGGATGTTTGAGGCCATCCTGAGCAAATTAGCAAAGTGAAAGGCCTGGAAGGATCCTATAGTACAGGGTTTCCCTGGCTGAGACCCAAGATTCCAATCCCTAAGATTGCCCAAAAGCTATTACTGCCTGCTTCAGCCCAAATGAATCTGCCATACAGGATTGGAGTGATCAGCTAAGGTACCTGTTTGAGGCGGTGTTTTGATTCATAGAGTATTTGTATTAGGGTTTCATTGGGGTGTGTGGCAAACTAGGTAAATATAACCATGACAAAAGTCACCTGTAGTCAGCCGGGCGGTGGTGGTGCACGCCTTATTCCCAGCACTCGGGAGGCAGAGGCAGGTGGATCTCTGGGTTCGAGACCAGCCTGGGCTACAAGTGGTAATTCCAGGACAGCCTCCAAAGCCACAGAGAAACCCTGTCTCGAAAAACCAAAAAAAAAAAAAAAAGGCACCTGTAGTCAAACAAAACAGCATTTTACTGTATCCTAACATCCCTGGCAAAGAAATCCATGTCCAGGGCTGGAGAGAGGACCCAGGTTCAATTCTTAACACACATGACACTTCACAACAGTCTGTAACTCCAGTTCCAGGGGATCTGACACCTTCATAACAATGCAGATTTATTATGTATACAATATTCTGCTTGCATGTATCCCTGCAAGCCAGAAGAGGGCAGCAGGTTTCATTACAAATGGTTGTAATCCACCATATGGTCCTGGGAATTGAACTCAGAACCTCTAGAAGAGCAGCCAGTGCTCTTAACAGCCTGAGAGTTAAATTATTCAAAAATAAAAAGCTTAGCAGGGCGTTGGTGGTGCATGCCTTTAATCCCAACACTCAGGAGGCAGAGGTAGGCGGATCTCTCTGAGTTTGAGACCAGCCTGGTCTACAAGAGCTAGTTCCAGGACAGCCTCCAAAGCCACAGAGAAACCCTGTCTCGAAAAAAACCGAAAGAAAGAGAGAGAGAGAGGAAGAAAGAAAGAAAAGGAAAGAAAGGAAAAGCTTCTGGGTAGTGGTGCCACACACCCAGCACTTTAATCCCAGCACTCGAGAGGCAAAATCAGGTAGTTCTCTGAAGCCAGCCTGGTCTACAAAATTACACAGAGAAACCTTGTCTCGAAAAACAAACAAACAAAAAAATTTAAAAAAAAGCCATGTCCATTTAGTCTGGTTCCAGGTTTGATACAAGTGTGTAATCCCAATGCTTGGGGAGCTATCAAGAAACAAGGGTAGGCTGGGTGGTTCGTGGCACATACCTCTACTCCCAGCACTTGGGAGGCAGGGGCATCTCAGTGAGTTTGAGGCCAACCTGGTTACAAAATGAGTTCCAGTACAGCCAGGAATGTTACACAAAGAAACTTTAAAAAAAAAAAAAAAAGTTATCCTGGGCTATCGTTAGGAATGTGGGATGAAAGGAACAAGGACTTTGAGGGTCCTGAACAGAGGGTTAGGGTAAGTGAATTCTGGATCTTAGGTCTCAACAAACGGTGAATAGAGGGTAGAGGAAGGGGCAATCTGAAGTAGTAGCTCAGGCTGACCTCAATCTAGTTGAAGTTGCCCTTGAACACCTTCCAAATTCCAAATTCTAGGATTACAAGTGAACCCCACCCAATTACTTGTGGTTTATGGAAATCCTCCTAAACCCTTAGCTACTTAACACCGAGGATGAGGGTTCTAAGATGCTCTGAATGATGGTCGAATCTGTATGCCAGCTTTGCAGGGGAGCTAAGCCACAAAACTGAATCTGGTAAAGCCTGGAAGCAGTGACTGGAGATGTTAAAGCCTCACTGCTTTGCAGGGGGACTAAGTTCCGTTACCAGCTTTATCTGAGACGGTGTTTGTGTGTAGCGGTGGCTGTCCTGGAATGTTCTGCCTCGGCCTCCCTAGTGCTGGGATCAAAGGCGTGTGCCACACTGCCACACTCTAGGTCAGGCGTACGTACCTACACTCATACATGTGAAATGTTAAAACATGTATGTAAAGTGAGCGCAGAGGACTGGGCATATAGTACAGTTTGGTAAGAGTGCTTGTCTAGTACGTATATGCAGGAAGCCTAGGGTTAAACCCCAGCACCACAGTAAAATGGGCGTGGTGGGGAACCTGAAATGTAGAACAGTAGGGTTCGTGTCTCAGGGCAGTCCTTGACATACGTAACAATGCTCAGTGAAGTCCCCGTCAAGTGCTCTCTTCGCCAGAAAGCATCAAGAGGCCGTGATGGTTGGGATGTCTCAATTTTGTGGGTGTCCTCTGCGACTCGAAAAGAGCTTTATTTTGGATGGGGTGGCTGTGAGCACAATGGCCCGGGCCTACAGCATCTCGAGGCCCAAGGTGTGGTCTGCGATTCCACCTTACAATCCGCAACAGGACTGCCATGCTCGTAGGTACTTCCGCAGCTACGTGGTTCCGCCCATTTTGCGGAAAACTGATCAGGTGGGTTTGTGAGTATTCGGGAGGCAGTCAGGAATCGGGGTTTGACCTTGGTGACTCGGGACCTCGAGGTTTCGTCCCTCCCTCATTCTGGGCCTCTCCCTGCAGTGTGCTGAGCACCTTGACTTGCGGCCAGCGCCCTGTGTGTGTGTTGGTTAATTAGGGCGTGGAGGAGTGCAATGACTGAGGAGTGGAGGTGTTGAACTCCTTTCCACCCTAAACTCCACCTTCAGTCTCATACCTTGTTTCTGCAAGAGAGGGCCTAGGCCGCGAAGCCTGCCTCCTGACAAATAGGTTTTGTGACGTCACAGAGGGTTCTTGAGAGTGACCTCACAGCAAGTACTCAAAACCTAGAGAAACTCCATAGAGCACTGTGAAGCAAACAAAGGGGATTGTCTTGACCTGGCACCTCGGTCCTATGCTGTCACAGTTGCAGGGTTAAGGCTGGCTCGCCACGCCTGTGAGCCCCAGGGAAGGGAGCCCCACTTCTGCAGACATTCCTCCCCAGCAGTTACTTGCCAGGATTGTAGATCCTTAGACTGTAGACTGACAGTTCCGTTTACCCCCAACCCTTAATTTTCTTTCTGTTTTCGTTTATTTTATGTACTCCGCTGTTTCCCAATGATCACAAGTGATCTTCCAGTAACTGGGAATAGGGGTGAGGATGTAGTTTACAGTTTACGGGTACAATACTTGACTCACAGTATGAGGTCCTGAATGCATCCCATTTACTACCCCCATACAAAATAAATCCAATGCCTGGGACTGCCATCACCTGTCATGCCTTCCAACAATTGAGCCTTCAGTATCAGTGTTGATGTCAGTGGTGTGAAGGCAAAAAGGACCTCCTTAGCATTGTGTGTGCACATATGTGTACAGTGCCAGTGCATAGATACACAATCTGTCTTGTCACTTTTATACCAGGAGCCAGAGGTGTGTATGTCTAAGAATGTCACTATCTTTATTTTTGTTCTTTGTTTTGGAGCCACAGTCTGGCTGTGTAGCCCAGGCTGGTCTCCAACTTGAAATTTTCTTCTGCTTCCTGAGTGCTGGGACTACAGGCCCATACCACCTGACTTGAATTTTATTTATTTAATTTTCTTTTTTTTTTATTTTGGTTTTTCAAGATAGAGTTTCTCTGTCTACTATGTGACCCTGGCTGGCCAAAAACTGACTATTTAGACTAAGCTGGCTTGGAACTCACAGAGATCCACCTGTCTCTACATCCCAAGTACTGGGATTAAAGGTGTGTGCCACCACCTCCTGGCTCAGCTTCAAACACACACACACACACACACACACACACACACACACACAGAGAGAGAGAGAGAGAGTGACAGAGAGAGACGGAGAGTGTATTTTGTGTGCCTGATGCCCTTAGAGGAAAGAGGAGGGTATTAAATGCCCTGCATTGGAGTTACAGACTGTTGTGATCCTTCATGTAGTTTCTGGGAATTAAACCAGGTCTTCTAGAGGAGCTCCCAGTGCTCTTAATTAACCATTGAGACATCTCCAACTCCACTTCCAACCTGCATGCCCCTTTCTTTTGAGGCAGAGTTTCATGTAATTCAGGCTGGTCTCTAATTCATTTTACAGCTCCTACCTGTCAGAGTGTAAGCATGCACTATCATACTCAAGTTTTTGTGTTAATAAAGTATTCTCTTGTTTTTAAAAAAATAATTTATTTAACCTTTATTTTATGTGCACTGAGGTGAAGCTATCAGATCTCCTGGAATTAAGTAACAGACAGTTGTGAGCTGCCATTTGGGTGTTGGAAATATGAACCTGGGTCCATCTGGAAGAACAGTCAGTGCTCTTAACCATTGAGCTATCTCTTCAGCCCCTTTGTTTGTTTCTTAAGATGGTCTTATATTTAATAGCCCAGGCTGTCCTAGTAGTCACTATGTAGAAGGTTCAAACTCAATAGAACTGCCAAGTTACTACATGCCCAGTCCCAGTTTTTTGTTTATTTGTTTGTTTTTGTTTTATTTATTTATTTATTTTGGTTTTTCAAGACAGGGTTTCTCTGTGTAGTCTTGGAGGTTGTCCTGGAACTCTATAGACCAGGCTGGCCTCAAACTCAGAGAAATCTGACTGCCTCTGCCTCTGGGACTAAAGGCGTGCGCCACCAACACTTGGCTCCATCTGTTTTGTTTTGTTGTTGTTTATCATCAAAATTACATCTGTGCTGGGTATTTTTATTTGAATAAAGATGTGAGAAAGTCAGGTGATGGTGGCACGTGCCTTTAATCCCAGCCCTCGAGTGGCAAAGGCTGACGGATCTCCCTGAGTTTGAGGCCATCCTGGTCTACAGAGCCAGTTGCAGGACAGCCAGGGCTACAGAGAGAAACCCTGTCTCAAGACCCCCCCCCCCAAAAAAAAGTGAGAAACCAGGTATTTGAGCTGGATGAGGTGACAATTGTATCTGGGAGTTCGAATGAGGTCAAGAGGTCAAGGTCATCCTCAACTAAATAGATTTAAGGCTTCCTCTGAGCTATGTGAGCCCCTTGTTTTGAGAAAAAGAACCAACAGCATGTAACAAAACAATAGCAAAATATGTGTATTTAGCTTTTACTACAGTGGGCCTTTTATCTAAACTAAGTCATGGAAATCTCATGGCAGCTTTCCAATTGATTATCAATAAAAACCTGAGGGCAGAGAAGCTCTGTGATTGGCCCATGATCACACAACTTGCTAGTGGCAGAACTAAAGTTAGGATCCATACTGTCGAGCAACAGAGCCCATACCTGTTGGTCACACTGCCTCTTCAGATCATTAGTGTATTTAATCTGCCCCCAAGTTTCTTCTAGCTCTTCTTCTTCCCATTCCCCAAAGAAGCCCCAGGAAGATTGCACCTCACTCTACAAGGCATCCCAACTTGACAGTCTTTTCTTCTTCATTTTCAGGATCATGGCGGTACAGGAAGGGATGGCTGGATAGTGGATTATTTCCACATTTTTGGTCAAGGACAGAGATATCTGAACAGGAGAAATTGGGCAGGGGCAGGCAAGTGTCATCTCACTGACCATCCTCATATGATCCCATCATGGAAAACGTGCGTACCCCACCGCTTAGAGAGGCAGGGCTACAGAGAGGCCTGGTTGGGAAAAAAGGGTCAAGGACTGTATCCTCATGGTTTTTTTCTCCATACATGAACAAATAGTGTTTGGTGCACCTAATATTCATTTCTTGAACATCTACTATATGAGTACCCCTCAGCCTCATTTTTTCCCATGGTACAATTCATGCGACATGCATGATTTAAAACAGATTTGATAGTAAGGGCTGAGATAGAGTTGCAGTTTTCCCTCCATCCACTCTAAAGTCTGGTGTGTGTGTGTGTGTGTGTGTGTGTGTGTGTGTGCAGTGTGCCCCGCCTCCAAGACACTGGCTCCCTAAGAATGAGCATACTCAGTTTAGCAGCCATGGGAAAAGGAAAATTAACTTTTTCTGGCAGGGACAATCTTTCCATCCAACTCCACCACCCTTCGGGCACAGATTACCATGAAGTCCTTTGCATCATGTTATCAATTTGATTTCATCTATTTTGTCCAGAAGGGACAGAGGCAAGGGTTAAAATCCTCACATGTCCTGGGAGCCAAGTCCAGACCCAGCACATACCAGTCACAGTCCTCTTGTAAACTCACTTGGGACAGGGTTTGATTTCTAGGACATCTCTGTCTCTAGGACCTCATTGTTGTTGGTTTCTTTTAAGGGGCTCAGGGCTTCTGAGGAGTAAGTATCCAGCTGTAAGAGTGGGGACACAGTGACTCACTGGGTTTAAGCGGACAAGAGGATACTGTCTGCAGGCTCAGCCCCTCTCCTCTTTCCCAAGGGCATTCCATCCAGCAGGTGGGTGGACATGACTACTACAATTCCAATCCGAAGGCAATAACTACAGGCTTAAACGGTCGATTTGGCTACCGCCGGAACACTCCAGCCCTCCGCCAGCGCACATCAGTGTTTGGGGAAGTCACCCCATTCCCCATTTTCTGAAGACATTGCTTCACGGGCCTTGATATGAATCTCCAAGACTCACGTTTAGATGACCTGTCAATACTATTCTATATTTTTAAAAGTTACATCTGTGTCTCCCAGTGTGTTCTTTTCTTCTCTGGGGCAGGAGGAGGGAACAAGTTGGTTTCTGTACACTCAGCTTCACCTTTGGAAAGGAGATGATCAAGGAAGCCTCTGTTTCCTTCTAGGCTGGGGTGGTGAGAAGGGGCCATGTTAGTCCGTCCTCCCTTGGCAGGGCCAGGGGTTAAACCCGTTGTCTAGTGCATGGGATTACCATCATTCTGCAACGGAGGTCCTTCTCTAGCACTCTGTACCTCAAGCTCAGCCCTCAACGAAACACTTCTCCAGGTACCAGTAGGCTCCTGGGTCAGAAGCTGGCCACTGTTTCCATCAAGAACAGGGAAGGGAGCTGTGTATGACAACCTGAGTTAGAATCCCAGCAACAAATTGTCCTCTGACTGACTGCCACATGCGCTCTGTGGCCTGTGAATGCCCATATGCATATATATGCTCAAACACAATTAAAATGTAATTTAAGTGGGGTGTTGGTGGCATACACCTTTAATCCCAGCACTCGGGGAGGCAGAGGCAGGCGGATCTCTAAGTTTGAGGCCAGTCTGGTCTACAGAGCGAGTTCCAGGACAGCCTCCAAAGCCACAGAGAAACCCTACCTCGAAAAACAAATAAAGTAATTTAAAAGAGACAAAGAAAACAAACCCAAGTAAACAAAGGCAAAAATGCAGCAGTAATAGGCAGTGGGTCTCTAGCTGGGTGTGGAGACACACACTTGCAATCCTAGTATTTAGGAGCTAGAATTAGGAAGATCCCCACAAGTACAAAGCCAGCCTGTGTTACATAGTAGGTTCCAAGCCAGTACTATAGAGAGACCCTGCATCAAGTCTCAAAATAATATTTCCCTGACTATTTGCACTCCCTCTAAAAAACAAACAAAACAAAATCCTGACATTTAAAGTGGGCCTGGGAGTTTGGTCTTTAATCCCAGTTTGCCGAGAGGCTTAGGCAGAAGGATACAGGCTCAAGGCTAAATTGGCTACACAGAGAGACTTTGTCTAAAGGAGGAGGAGGAGTAGGAGTAGGAGAAAGGTCCAGAGATATAGGAATACAGGTAGATTCTAAGAGTGTATAGTAGAGACTTTAGTTAGCTTGTTTGAGGCCTTAAGTTCAATTGTTAGTCCTAAAAACAAAACAAAACAAAAAACCTGACATCTTCCATCTTCTTCCTTTCACATAATTCATTAAGGGGGCAGGCAAGAGGACATGGGTGCTTATTAGTCCAAATCACAGGATTTTCTGTTCATGATGTCCATCTCCTTTTCAATCAGTTGTCATTCTTTTATGTTTCCACCCTATTTCTTGGTGGCAGAGAAAAGCCAAGCAGCTGTATACAGAGAAGGAGAGGCCTGAGAACACAAAGCTCCCCAGGGCATTAGTGTGGGTGGAACCAGTTCATTGTTAGTCACCATAAGTGGACAAGGAAGAGGACTCAGACAAGGTGAGGGGGTATAGCTCAGGGGTAGAGCATTTGACTGCAGATCAAGAGGTCCCTGGTTCAAATCCGGGTGCCCCCTTCCTACTTATTTTACTTCCACAAGTGTAAGACTCCGTCACTAAAAAGAACAAGGAACTTTTAACCTGGTCTGCTGGTGGAGGAATAAGGTGAAGAGCCTCTCTGTGCTGTGGACAAGAACTTTCAAGACATTCTTGTTCTGAAATACCTCTTGTCTTCATAGCTCTTCACTTAAGTTTCAGTTAACACAAAGGCCGTGGGCTAGGGCTCAGTAGTAGAGCACTAACAACCTGTGAGGCCGTGGTTCAAGACTGGACCCTGAAAAGAAAGGAACACTATTTGTAGGTATCGCTTCTTCCTTCTCTTCTTTTATTCTTTTTGTTTTCTGAAATAAGTTTTCTCTCTATATAAGTCCTGGCTGTCCTGGAACTCGCTTTGTAGACCAGGCTGGTCTGGAATTTACAGAGATCTGCCTTCCTGTGCTGGGATTAAAGGCACCAGCACCGCTCAGCTTCTTTCTTTTTTTCTTTCCTTTTTAAAAAATGTAGCCCTGGCTGTTTTGAAATTTGTTATGTAGACCAGGCTGGTCTCAAATTTCTAGAGATCCAACTGCCTCCTAAGTGTATAGATTAAAAGCAAGCAACAGGAAACACTACCAGTTTTTAAAAAAAAGATTGTGTGTGTGAGAGAGAGGAGAGAGAGAGGGAGAAAAAGAGGGAGAGAGAGGGAGAGAGAGAGAGAGAGAGAGAGAGAGAGAGAGAGAGAGAGAGGTGTGATGTGTGTACAGGTGCCCATGGAGGCAAGAAAAGGGAGCAGAGGGCGCTGGATCCCCTGAAATTGAAGTTACGGGAAGTCAAGTCATGAGCTGGTTGGACCATCCTTACACTCTTTTCTAGGTATTTCTAAAATGAAGCCTTAACTGCGCCCCCCCCCCGCCCGCACCCCACACGATGAACATGTAGCTACTTTAAACATTTTGTTTTGAGATAGAATCTTTTTTTTTTTTTTTTTTTTTTCCGAGACAGGGTTTCTCTGTGGCTTTGGAGGCTGTCCTGGAACTAGCTCTTGTAGACCAGGCTGGTCTCGAACTCACAGAGATCTTCCTGCCTCTGCCTCCCGAGTGCTGGGATTAAAGGCGTGCGCCACCAGCGCGGGAAGCACTTTTCCTGTGTTTTCTTCAACACCTGGGTGCCTTGGACGAGGTGGTCACGTGAGACGACCTAAGCCCTGAGAGTGGGTAGAAACTACACAGGACTCTAGGAACATGTAGACTTAAGGCTCGTGCCGAACGTCATCGCTCCGAGACGCTGACGCAGTTATATGACGCCACTCCCGGAAGTGCGATCTAGAGCGGGCGGGGAAAGGGGCAGCTGGTTCCTTTAGGGATTAGGTCCTGTGAGGCTGGCCTCAGAAGTGAGTCCGTCTCCTCTCGCTCTTCGCTGAGTCTTTCAGGCCCTTGGACTGAGGAAACGTCTACACCGTGATGGGAGGCGGAGACCTGGTAAGTGCCGGAGACCTGGCCAGTTAGGTCAGCCCGAGACCCGCTGGCGCCGGGGACGGAAGCTGGCAGGGGTGCGGTGGAAGTCGGAGGTAGCAGTGGGTAACCCTGGTAATGAAGTCTTGTTCTCAACACAAGGGGATGGTCAACATGGAGACAGAGCGGATGGCTCAGAGCACGGAGGGACTGGGATAAGACTTGGCAAGACGTGCGGCGAGTGATGTCTGATGGTGTCTGTGTTTGCTGATTGGGGGAGGCTCTGGCCTGGGAAATCTGAGGTCAGGGAGGGGGCAGTTGGACTCATGGTACGGAAGGAGGCAGATCTTGGCACACAGACTTTATTTTGTGTATGTTATTTTGGGACATAGTCCCTTTTCTTCGCTACGAGTTTACAGTTGTATCCTGGACCTGGACTGTCGAAGGGTGGCCCCAATCCTCCCCGATTCTGAGCTGTGCCATTTGGAGGCGTCCATTTTAAATCTTATCCATCGTGGTTTCATTCCCTACATCAGCTTAGCTTTGATCTGTAGTGACAAGGCAGCTGTCTTCTGTATTCCTAACACCTTTTTAGGGCTAACTGGCCCTAAATAGCTCTTAAGTCGTGTAGTTCATTGGTGGGGAACTAATGCCTTAAAATAGGTGGAAATATCCACGAAGCACAGAGCTGGATTAGAAAACTACTCATCTTCTCAAAGTGAAGCTAATTGAATCAATAAATATAGTAGTTTAGATATGAATCCATTAGGCTGAGTTTGCCTGGTAGCCTTAATTTGATCAAGTTCTGGGACTTCATCAAAGTTGGTCTAGTTTAGTATGTTCTTTATGTAACTGGGTTTATGGACAGTGCGTTCGTTTGTTTCTCTATTGCTGTGATAAAACCAGGACCAAAAGCAACTTCCAGAGCTTATTACATCTTACAGGGTAGAGTCCAGCATTAAGGGAAGCCATGAAGGAGCTCAAGTAGTAACCTGGAGGCAGGAACTGAACCAGAAACCGTGGAGGAATGCTTGCTTCCCTTGGCTTACTCAGCAACCTTTCTTATACAGTTCAGGCCCACCTACACAGGGATGGTACCACCTTCAGTGGGGTGGGCCCTCCTATATCAATTAGCAATCAAGAAAATGCACCCACAGACATTCCCACAATCTGATGGAGGCAATTCCTCTGTTGAAGTTGACAACCAAGACTAGCCATCCCTGACAGGAAAGCTCTAATCTAGAAATATTTTTCTGGTTTTTTGAGATAGGGTTTCTTTGTATAGGTCTGGCTATCCTGCAACTAGCTCTGTAAACCAGGCTGGCCTCAAACAGATTTACCTGCCTCTGCCTCCTGAGCGCTGGGATTAAAGGGTTAGGGTTATTCATGGCCAATCTAGAAAAATTTTTAAAAGATTTATTTATTTATCATGTATAAAGTGTTCTGCCTGTATATATGCCTACAGGCCTGAAGGCACCAGATCTCATTACAGATGGTTGTGAGCCACCATGTGGTTTCTGGGAATTGAACTCAGGACTTCTGGAAGAGCAGCCAGTGCTTTCTTAACCGCTGAGCCATCTCACCAGTACCCCAATCTAGAAATTCTTAACCTCAGAGGTATTGGCAGTTTGGGCTGTGTGTGTGTGTGGGTGTGTGTGTGTGTGTGTGTGTGTGTGTGTGTGTGTGGTGGTGGGGCTGCCCTGCAAACTGAATATTCAGCAGCCTCTAGCCAAAGGATGCCGTTGGCACTCAACTCTCCCTCAGGTGTGATATCTACAAATTTCCCCAGACATTGATTGCCATTTGTGCTCTGGGGTGGAAAGGAGGACCTATGTAGGACAAAGTAAGGGTGTGTGTGTGTGTGTGTGTGTGTGTGTGTGTGTGTATGTATGTGTGGTGTGTATATGTGTGGTTGTATGTGTGTGGTGTGTGCGTGTGCTTGTGTGTGTGTGGTGAGTGTGGGGCGGTAAAGGAAGTCCTCCTCAAAGGAAAGAACGTAGGAAGGAAGGATTAAACAACCTGGTAACAGGGGAAAGCAGTTAAGGGTAAAGAAAGAAAGCAGATGGTACATGCCCTTAGTTCCAGTGCCCGGGAGGTAGAGTCAGAAAGAGCTTAAGTTTGAGGGTAGCCTGAGCTAGATAGCAAGGCCCTGGCTTGCATGTATGTGTATATGCCCACACATAACTGTTCTTGCTGACAGTGTGCATTGCACCTGCAAGGTACCTTATGTATTTTATCTTTTAGTCTTAACTGGTCTCCAATTTTGTACCTCTCCCATCCATCCTTCATATGATAACTGGGCATGCTTTTGCCTGCATCTTTTCAGTTCTTGCTTCCCACCATTAATAGGGTGAAGTTGAGTCCGTTCACATGCCTGTAAGGGATTTGGTCCAATGGCTTCTTAGCTGGCTTTGTCTTACACCCCTCCTCCATTAGCTTTCACTCCACCTCCAGCCTCAGTGAATTATTTATGCTATCTTTTCTTCTCATCACAGAGACTGTAGTTGTGAGTGCCATTTCCTCTTACAGTGCTTCCCACGTCACCATCAATTTTATAACCATCCTTAGATGCCACTTCATCAGGGGAACTTCTACGATTGCAGCTTGAAGCAGAGTAGTGAGATGAGAAGAATTCATTGAAGGGGAAGGAACAAGGGGAATTCCTGGGAAGGAAAGTTGAGAAGGTCCAGGTACATTGTAAACATGCAAGTTTAGGTACAGGAGAGTTAAGTGGACTCAATAAAAAGAAAGATGTTTGAACCAGCTGTCAATGGTGGCGCATGCCTTTGATCCCAGCACTCGGGAGGCAGAAGCAGGCAGATCTCTGTGAGTTTGAGGCCAGCCTGGTCTATAGAGCTAGTTGTGAGACATCCATGGCTACACAAAGAAACTCTGTCTTGAAAAACCAAAAGAAACCACTGTTCCAGTGACCCAAAATAGAGATCTTTCTCCTTGCCCTATTCTTCTGTCTTGCTATTATCAACTCCCATTTTACGCATGGCTAGTGGAGTCTAAGGTTATATATAACTGAAGGAAACTCAGAAAAGGTCTGTTCCACCCTCAAACTGTAATTAAAGTACTCTAGCATCAAGCTGCATTCCCTACCTGCTAGCTTGCCTTTACATGCCTGCAGTACTGGTGAGTGCGGCAGGGTAGGATGGTTAATTTTAACTGTCTATGTGACATAATTTAGAGTCACCCTGGAGGAGAATCTCAATGAGAGTTGTCTACATTGGGCTGGCCTGTGGGTGTGTCTATTGGGGATTATCTTAATTAATCATTGTGGGAAGACCCTCATCGCCTTCCACCTACCACTCTCTGAATTCTTTCCTCCCTCCCTTCTTTCATCCACACAGAACCTAAAGAAGAGCTGGCACCCGCAGACCCTTCGAAATGTGGAGAAAGTGTGGAAGGCAGAGCAGAAACATGAGGCTGAGCGGAAAAAGATTGAGGAGCTGCAGCGAGAGCTCCGAGAGGAGAGAGCTCGGGAAGAGATGCAGCGCTATGCTGAGGATGTCGGGGCTGTCAAGTAAGTGAGGAGCTGGGTGTGTGATGCATGCCTGATGCAGGTGCTGCATAAGTGACTGAGCATTCGGGTTTTGGAGCCTGACCAACTCGATTCTAAGACTTGCTTTGCGTGTCCTAAGCTGTGTACCTGAGAGAAGGTTTGGGGAGCCTTGGATATCTGGGTACCCAAGTCTGTAAGACTTGTTGAGAAACAGATGTGATAATATGGAACCAGCTTAGTGTAGGCCATGCTCACACTAGATGGTTGACAAAGAATCACAACTGTAACTAAGAACCACTGTCTTTATGCTGCCTGAGCCTCTGAATGTACTGCAAGCCCATCTTCCTGGGGAGAGTGGGTTTAATGGGAATAAGCAGATAGGGTGTCTATCAATGAAAGCCTTGTGGCTATGGACAGTCTTGCTGAATTTTACATTTGGTCATACAGGGTAGTTGTAGATATTTACCCTATTCATCTCATGAAATGAAAGGGAGACTATATTTCGAGAAAAATGCATAAAATCCACTCTAAGCTGGGCAGTGGTGGTGCACACCTTTAATCCCAGCACTTGGGAGGCAGAGGCAGGTGGATCTCTGTGAGTTTGAGGCCAGCCTGGTCTACAGAGTGAGTTCCAGGACAGCCAGGGCTGTTACACAGAGAAACCCTGTCTCCAAAAAACAACAAAACAAAACCCAAAGAAGATGCACTCTATAGTACATTCCTAAATCAGAACAATATAGAAACTGAAGACACATTGAAATCAAGTCACCTCTGCTGTTCCCCTTGTTCATCTTTCATGGACAAGTCTTCAGGGTGAAATGTGGCTCATTTCCCCCGTGGGATATTATAGGGTTTTCCTTAATTTCATGGCAGAGGGATTTGTTACATCCGAAGCTGTGTGTGAGATTTCAGTATGCAGACGTAGCAACATGACACATTAAGTAGGGGGAAAATCCCATTCTTTCAGGAAATAGATTGGGTAGGTTTCTGATGTTTTAGTGTTTGAGGTTTTATGGAACTTTTAAATTGAATACAATGTATTTAGGGAATGGTGATGGTAACTATTAACTGTGAAACTTGATAGAATCTGGAATCACCTGGAAGATGGGCCTCTGGGTACATCAGTGGGTATTATCTTGATTCTGTTAGTTACTATGTGAAGACTCTGGACTGTGGGCAGGACTACTCCATGTGCTGCCCGTCCTGAACTGTGTAAGAGTCGGCAAGCTGAGCTTGGTAGATGCAGTGTGTCTAGCCAAGAGTTAGTCCTGCTGCATTGAATTCTCCACCATGAGGGACCGTGTCTTCAACTGTGAGCTAGAATGGACCCTGTATCCCTAAAGCTGCTTTTGTCAGAGTGTTTTATCATAACACAAAAGGAAAATAAGACAGGCGTTAATATAGAAATGGAACAAAAAGCCGGGCAACTCACGCCAGGTGGCTCACGCCTTTAATCCCAGCACTCGGGAGGCAGAGGCAGGTGGATCTCTTGAATTTGAGGCTAGCCTGGCCTACAGAGCAAGTTTCATGACAGCCAGGACTATACAGAGAAACCCTGTAAGAGGACTCATTGCTCTGCAGAGGATGGGGTTTGATTCCCAGTACACATACTGCTTCACAACCATCTAATTATTTGTAATTCCAGTTCCATAACAGTGATACCCTCTTCTGGCCTTTGAGGGCACTACACACATGTGGTGTGGCTATATGCAGGCAAACTACCTAAAATTCAATTTTTTAAAAGTACAAACAGGCAGAGCAGTGGTGGCGTCCGCCTTTAATCCCAGCACTCGGGAGGCAGGGACAGGCAGATCTTTGTGAGTTCGAGACCAGCCTGGTCCACAAGAGCTTGTTCCAGGACAGGCTCCAAAGCCACAGAGAAACCCTGCCTTGAAAAACCAAAAAGAAAAAAACAAACAAAAACGTGCAGACAGGGTCTCATTATAGCCCAGACTGATGGTTCCCTGTTTCAGCCTCCTACTTGTTGGGATTACAGGTTATCTGTCACCAGGCTCAAAAAAACTTTTTTTTAAATTTGAGGACAGAAAATTTATTAGGAGTTTAAAACCAAGGCAGACAAACTATCAATCTCCCAGTTGCCTGGAGGAGGAGAATGGAGAAGTGGGGAAAGGCCTTCTGTCTGGAATGAGCCAGCATGGAAGTCAGCTTCATGGCCTATACATAGCCCCAAGTGGGGAGGGGATCTCTGGGAAACAGGTTAGGCAGCCCTAGAGAGCTAGAGAAAGCATGTTTAGGTGTGGCCAGCATCCAGAAGAAAAGACAACAGAGAGGGGCAAAGAAGTATATTCAGGACTCAGAAAAGCAGGCTGCCAACCCTGCAGTACCTCATGGCAGCTGGCAGAGACACCTCCCTCCCCTCTCCCCTGCACAACGCTTTTGCAGCTGATTTACTTGTCCCTTTGGCTACTTTGAATGCTTTGTATAATGATATGCTTTGACTTTCTCCAATTGAGCACCATTGATTTAATGATTCACTCCACTCGTGTGGTTCAAGTGATGTTTTCTGTGTTTGTAGTGCACTGCTTTTAGAGCAAAGAAGACACATCTCATAGTGCAAATGTTGTACATCTCAAATCCCTTTCTGGACCTGGGGAGCAACCCCAAGGTCTCAAACATGCTAGCAACTTTGTCTACTACAGAGCAATAGAGTATCTCTTTTAGTATTTGCTGACAGCATTAAATGGTTGCAGCTCCTAGCCGGTCCTTGCATTAAATAGATAAAGATGGGGCAGTTCCTTCCTCAGCCAGCTGCTGTAGAGTAGAAGGGATTTTAAGAGGAGAGCGGGTCAGTGGGTTTTGAGACCTTGTCTCAAAACAAAAAACAACAGCCAACCAAACGAAAACAAACTGAAGGTCTAGGCAAGAGCATCTCTGGTTTGAGGCCAGCCAGACAACAGTAAAACCCTGAAAACAAAACAAAACAAAACAAAAGCAAATGGGGGCTGGAGAGATGGCTCAGTGGTTAAGAGCACTGACCGCTCTTCCAGAGGTCCTGAATTCAATTCCCGGCAACCACATGGTGGCTCACAACCACCTTGAATGAGATCCGGTGCCCTCTGCTGGCATGCAGGCAGAAGACTGTATACATAATAAATAAATAAAGTCTTAAAAAAAAAAAAAAAAAACCAAAGCAAACAACACAACAAAACAAGGGCTGCAGAAATGGCTCAAGGTTAAAGGCACCTGTTGTTCTTGCAGAGGACATAGTTTCAATTTCCAGCAACAACACAGTTGCTCACTACCACCTGTAACTCAAGTTCAAAGGGTGTCCGTGTCCTCTACCTTGTGCACATTTATATAAATAAAGTTTAAAAGACAAAAATTAAGGGCTGGAGAGCTGTCTCAGTGGTACTGTTCCCAGCACCCTCGTTAGACAGCTCTCTGCCTGCTCCAGTTCTGCCTCCACAGGCACCAGGTGTACGTGTGGTGCACTCATATACAGCAGTCACTCACTCACACAGACACATTAAAAAAAAAAAATCTGTCACAAATGAACCCACTAGGTATGACTGTGCATGCCTGAAGCCTCTGCACTTGGAGGAAGAGGCAAAAGGATTAGGAGTTCAAACCCAACCTTGGCTACTTGCCACATGACCTTGATAAGAGATGGATTCCTGAAAGTTGTCCTTTCTGACCTTCACATGCACACTGTGACATATGACACTGTGACATGTATGACCCTCTCCATTATATGCACATATAATGATAAATAAGGTTTTTTTTTGAGACAGCGTTTTTGTTTTTTTTTTGTTGTTGTTGTTTGTTTCTTTGTTTCTTTGTAACAGACATGCTGTCCTGAAACCCACTCGGTAGACCAGGCTGGCCTTGAAGTCACAAAGGTCTATCTGTCTCTGCTCCCTGAGTGCTGGGATTAAAGGCGTGTGCCACCACAGCCAGCTTTTCTTGAATTATCCCATCTACCTTTTGTCTCTGGGCTTTCTCCTTTTCTCTGTAATCTTACTTTCTCTCCTACTCCATGGCTGGCTGCGTGGCTGGTCCTGTCTATTCTTGATCCTTCTCTCTTCTTTCTTCTCCTTATTTGTTTTCTCTGCCTGCCAACCCCACCTGTGTGGAGTTTGGCAGCACTCTACCCTGTGTGTGTTTGTATGTGTGTGTCTGTGTGTGTATCTGTGTCTGTGTCTGTGTCTGTCTATCTATCTGTATCTATCTAATCTAGATTTATATCTTTTTTCTTGAACCAGGAAAAAAGAAGAAAAGTTGGATTGGATGTACCAGGGTCCTGGTGGGATGGTGAACCGGGATGAGTACCTGCTGGGGCGCCCCATTGACAAGTATGTTTTTGAGAAGATGGAGGAAAAGGAAGCAGGCTGTTCTTCTGAGACAGGACTCCTCCCAGGCTCTATCTTTGCCCCATCAGGTGCCAATTCCCTTCTTGACATGGCCAGCAAAATCCGGGAAGACCCTCTCTTCATTATCAGGTACCGCTTGAAGCCGAGGAAGGTTGTTACACAGATGCCTGGGGACTCTTCCAGGGAGGGCTGGTGTTTCTCTTGTTTATAGTCACTCATCCTTTCCACAGCTCTGTCTCTGTTTGTGCTTCTGGGTAGTGAGAGAGAGCTTCTTTGTGTAAGGGTGCCTGATGTAGGCCGTATGGAAAGATACTGGCAAATGTTTCAAGCCAGACCAGATTTATCCACCTATCTTTAACCCCTAAATAAAAATGAGAGATAGAAGGCTGGGGATAGCTCTGCTGTTAAGAGCATCTGTTGCTCCTGCAGAGGACCTGAGTTTGGATCCCAGTACCCATGTCAGGTGGCTTAGGGATGTTTGTAACTGCAGCTCTAGGAAGATCCAAAGCCTCTGGGACTCATGTGCCTCACACTTGCATGTGCGTACACACACACACACACACACACACACACACACACACACACACACACAGATAATAAAAATCTTATTAAAATGAAAAAGGAGGTAGAAGCAAAATGACAAACATTTGCTGTTCCTTATGAGGTAGGTAAGTTTTCCCTCTCAACCTGCCACTCCATTACCATTCCCGCTGCAGTCGCACGGCCAGTCAAATGACTCTTCATTCCTTTCTCCTTCAGCCTCCTTCCTTGCTTTTTTCACTTTGTTTATTTTTGGATGTGTGTGTGTGTTTAGTGTCTATATGTGCATGTGTGTGCTTACCTGTTTGTGGAGGCTAGAAGTCAACATTAAATATCTTCCTCAATCACTGTCTTATTTGTGCATGTTCAAGTGTGCATTGTGGAGGCTAGAAGTCAACATTAAATATCTTCCTCAATCACTGTCTTATTTGTGAGCGTGTGTGTGAGCGTGTGTGTGAGCGTGTGTGTGAGCGTGTGTGTGCGTGTGTGCGTGTATGCGTGTATGAGCATGTATATGCGTGTGTGCGTGTGCGCGTGCGCGTGTGCGTGTGCGTGTGTGTGTGTGTGTGTGTGTGTGTGTAGGGATACTTTTGGGAGTTCTCTCCTTCTACCTTGTGAGCCTTAGGAATTTGAACTCAGCAGTTGGTCTTGGCAGCAAGTTCCTTTAACAGCTCTCTACCCAGCCCTCTCTACCTTATTCTTGAGACAGGGTCTCTAACCAAACCTGGAGCTTGCTGATTCATGTACACTGGCCAGCAAGTCCCAGGATCCTCCTGTTGCTGTGTCCAGAGCACTAACTAGGATCATGACCATGTGCTGCTCTGCTCAGTTTTCTGTGCTGTTGTTACTGGTTTTGAGACAGGGTCTTATTATGTAGCCTTGGTTGGCCTGAATGCAGGACTGAAAGGCTTGTGCTACCACACCTGGCTCACTCAGATTTTTTACATGGGTTCTGGGAGGTGGAATTTTAGCTCCTTATGCTTGTGTGCCAAACACTTTATTGACAGAGCCATCTTTTTTTTTTTTTTTTGGTTTTTCAAGACAGGATTTCTCTGTGTAGCTTTGGAGTCTATCCTGGCACTCGCTCTGGAGATCAGGCTGGCCTTGAACTCACAGAGATCCACCTGCCTCTGCCTCCGAGTGCTGGGACTAAAGGCGTGCGCCACCAACGCCCGGCTGTACATGATTTTTTAAAAAGGGGGTTGTTAAATAGAATTTGGTGAGGAGGATAACATAATATTCCCTTTGCAAAAGAAAGAATCATTAAATGTTTTTTCTTCTATTTAGGAAGAAAGAGGAGGAGAAAAAAAGAGAGGTACTGAACAATCCTGTGAAAATGAAGAAAATCAAAGAGTTGGTAAGTAATACATCAAATATGCACCAAGACGGTGTTGGAGGTCTGTTTGCTTGCACAGGTGTCTGCACTGTGCGAATTTGTGCTATCTGAAGAGTCTGGAAATGGGCATCAGATCCCCTAGAACTGGAGTTATGGATAGTTGTGACTTGCTCTGTGGATGCTAGAAATTGAACCCTGCTTTTCCAGAAGAGCAGTTAGTGCTTTTAAGTGCCAAGCCATCTCTGTAGCCCCTCCTTTAGCTTCTTAGCACCAGGCTACCTTTTCATTTCCTCATAGGAAAGGAAGTAGACTGGCGTTTATAACTGCTCCTTTCTGTATTCTTGAGACAGGACTTATTTTGTAGCCCAGGCCAGTCTGGAACTCCAGTCCTCCTTCCTCAACCTGAGTGGCAGGATTACAGGCTGAAAAAAAAATTTTTTTTTTTCAAGATAGGGTTTCTCTGTGTGGCTCTGGCTGTCCTGGAACTCACTCTGTAGACCGGGCTGGCCTCCAACTCATAGATCCACCTTCCTCTGCCTCTTGAGTGCTGGGATTAAAGGCGAGCGCCCCCCCCCCCCCCACTCACCAGCACTTGGCTTCTTTTTCTTTTTTATTGCATGTATGTGGGTGTGGCATAGCATTTCCTGAGAACTGGGCTCAAGTTGTCAGGCTTGGTGGCAAGTGCAGTTAATAATAATTTTAAAAAGTAGATTTCTTGCTCACTTACCAGAGAATTTTTTCAGGGGGTCTGGGGTACATTTGTGCCCAACATGGATGCCCTGATGATCCCCTGGGCTAGTTTGTATGTGAGCTGTTCCCTACAGCAGGTACTAACAGGGTCTTAAAGATCTTATGTAGTTATGTTCTGGACATTTCCTAGTTGCAAATGAGTCTAGAAAAAAAGGAGAAGAAGAAAAAGAAGGAGAAGAAAAAGAAGCACAAGAAACACAAACACAGAAGCTCCAGTAGTGATGGTTCCAGCAGCGAGGAGGAGCACAGTCAGGGCAGGTGAGCAGATGGTGCCAGCCTCCCTCAGCCAGACTCTTCCCCGTTCACTCATCCATCCCACAGGAGTCCATCCCACAGGAGGAGCTGGGTCCAGGCACTGGAGCTTTGGTGGGGAACATGCAGAAGTGTGCTCTGTACTGCAGAGCTGGCCCCTAGCGTTAGAGGTCTCTGGAATGCGGAATCTGTCTCCTGGTGCACTCTTGGATAGGCTTACATCCATCTCCCAGACCATAGGTGGAACTCCAGCCGAGACTCTTTCATCTCAGCTTGAGTCCTTGGGACTGAAAGGGGTTTTCTTTCTGTAGTCTCTCTCCCTCTTTTTTTTTTTTTTAATGGCTTAATGGGACCATGTGGGCCCATTCTGTGTCTTCCCGCAGGGACAGTCAGCTCTTCTGCTGCTGACTCATGATTAGCCCCTGGAATAGCAGCGTGAGGTGAGAGGAGACTGTTCAGGCGCTGAGGCTGAGCGCTCTGCCCACGGCTTTTCACAGGAGAAACTTGACTGTGCTGATGTCTTCCAGCGAAGACAGTCCAAATAGAGAAAGGCGCTGCCAAGCAATGGCAGGACTCGCTAGCTGGGCGCTGGGAGAGGCTGCACTTCTCAGCAGGAGAGGCTCAAACTGGACTCATGTGCCTTTTCTTTCTCAGTGAATGTGTATGTGTTTTAATTCCTTAGGTCTCAAAAGAAGATGGCAAATTCCTTTCCTGTTTTGTCCAAAGTCCCTGGATATGGTTTACAGGTAGAGATGTGGGCTTTTCAAAGGGAGTGGCTATGGGACCATGCAGTTTGTTACCCTTGACACCTGCACATAGCAGGGGAGTTAGATAGTGGAGGCTGGGGCTGCTGGAGGCCGAGCCTGCTCCTTGTCCTGGAGCCCTTTACCCCTTTGTGAGAGTCCTCTAGAGAAATCACTAGTTGGAGCATTTACCATACTGCCAAGAACTGCAAATAATTGACATGAAATGTATACTTTTTTTATTTTAATTTTTGTGAGGTCCTTGCATGGAACCCAGGGCCTTGCATATGCTGAGCAAGTGCTTTATGAGTGAACGACAGCCTTAGTCCTTGGTTTACTCATTTATATTCATTCTTTCATGCATTTGTTTATTTTGAAATAGGGTCTTACTGGAACTATTTACATAGCTCAGGCTGGCCTCGAACCCACAGACCTCCTCATGCCTCTGCCTCCCCGTGCTAGGATTAAAGCCATGTGCCACCACACCTGGCTTGGTTTTGTATTTTTTTTCTTTAAGATTTATATATATTTTTTATATTATATGTATGAGTATTTTGCCTGCACGTATATGTGCATGCCACATGAGTACCTCATGCCCATGGAAGTCAGAAAGAGGGTATTGGATCCTGTGGATCTGAAGTTTAAAATGGTTGTGAGTCACCTGATAGATGCCAGGAACCAAATCCAGGCCCTCTGGGAGAGAGGCAAGTACTTCTAACTCCTGAGCTGACTCTCCAGCTCTTGTTTTTGTTTTTGTTTTGTTTTTTTAAGATTTATTATGAATACAGTGTTCTGCTTGCATGTATCCCTGCAGGCCAGAAGAGGGCATCAGATCTCATTACAGATGGTTGTGAGCCACCATGTGGTTGCTAGGAATTGAACTCAGGACCTCTGGAAGAGTAGGCAGTGCTCCTAACCTCTGAGCCATCTTTCCAGCCCCTGTTTTTGTATTTTTGAGAGGGGAACTCATGAATTATGTGAAGGCTGACCTGGATCTCAATGTGGAGCTAAGGCTAGCTGACCTTGGAATTCTTTTTTTTTAAAGATTTTATTTATTTATTATGTATACAGCTGTCTGCCTGCATGCCAACAGAGGGCACTAGATCTCATTCAAGGTGGCTGTGAGCCACCATGTGGTTGCCAGGAATTGAACTCAGGACCTCTGGAAGAACAGTCACTGCTCGTAACCACTGAGCCATCTCTCCAGCCCCCTGACCTTGGAATTCTAGCTGTCCTGTTTCTACTTTCCTTGGTGCTAGGAACACAGTACCCTGACACATCTGGTTGTCTGGTTTTGTTGTTATTGTTTTGTTTTTCATATAGGGTTTCACTGCGTAGTTCACCTGCTTCTGCTTCCCAAGTGCTGGGAAGCTCTGGGCTATGAGATCTTGTTTTTTTTTTAGACAGAATCTCAAAAAATTCTGAATTCTTCTGTATCCTGAATGCTGGGATCACAGATACGAAAGGCAACTCTTGACTTTTTTCAAAAGGATTTCCATATGTAGTTTAATTTGTTCTCAAACTTGATCTTCATGCCTTTACCTACTGAGTTGCTAGAGATATGCCCAGCTCTTTTTTTTTTTTTTTTTTAAAACAAGAGTCTCAGAATATAACACAAGCTGGCCTTGAATTTACAATCCTCTTACCTTAGCATTCTGAGTACAGGATTCAGGCCCGCCCGCCCCCACCCCGACACCTCCATGCAGCTCTATAGTCATCTTGATTACTCTTGGCACTTTAAAGAATCTCATTGTTTATTCTGTCCTTTGCTTTACTGCATTTCTTTTTGAACAGCTATTTTCCTATGGATGCTTTCTCTTCCTTAATGACATAGGTGAGGGACTCTGACCGTAACCAGGGCCTGCAGGGTTCTCTGATGGCCGAACAAAGGGGTGTGAAGAACCATTCCCGCTCAAGAAGCTCCTCCCACTCACCCCCCAGACATGTCAGCAAGAAGAGCTCCAAGGAAGAGAGGTCCCGGGACAGGAGGTCTCGATCCCCAGGAAGACGGTCACGGTCCCCAAGGCCCAGCAAACCGTGAGTTTGGGAATTCACTGGGAAATGAATACTCTGTGACCCTCGGCGCCTGGTCACAGCAGATGTTCGTCTTGGGTGATGTTTGTCATTTCCAGTCTCGGGCTCATTTCCTCTCCATCACTCTTTTCTCCACCTCACTGTCATTACATACAATCATTAACAAATCCAGTTTGTAGCACTATATTGTGCTGGCAGAATTTCCCCTCTACTTCGGGTTATACTTTTTCTCTATGTGTATGCTGTTTGCACACATGTGGGTGGGTGTGCATGCTTATGCTTGTGTGGAGGTAGCAGGGTCTTCCTGTCACTCTCCACCTTATTCCATCGAGGCACTCGCTCCCTAAACCCAGAGCTCACTTTTTTTTTTTTAAGGTGGTGGGGTGGGTGGGCTAGGCTGGAATTCCCAGAGATCCTCCTGTCTCCTCCCCACTCAGTGCTGGGGTTATAAGCATGCCCAAAATTGTGCCTGGCTTGTTATGTGGGTGCTGGGACCTCAACTCTGGTCCTTAGGCTTATCTAGCAAAAACTTTTATTGCCGAGCCTTAGGCCCTGGATTATACTTTTGAAGTAAGTGTGTGTGTGTGTGTGTGTGTGTGTGTGTGTGTGTGTGTGTACATTTGCATTACTGCATCCTTGTGGAGGTCAGAGAATAATTTGAGGGAATTGGTTTGTCCTCCATCATATGGACTCCTGTTACATGAGGGTTTCTTAGCCAGGCTAGGTCCCGCTGTACTTCTCTGCCCCAAAGAAACACGCAGACACTATATTAGTTATAAATCTGTTGGCTGGTGACTTGGGCTTCTTATTCTTAACCCATAATTACTAATCTATGTATTTCCTTGTGGTCTTGGTTTACCGGGAATGCTAGACTCTTACTCCATTGGGGTCTACATTTATTTATTTATTATTTATTTATTTGGTTTTTGTTTTTTTTGAGACAGGGTTTCTCTGTGGCTTTGGAGGCTCTCCTGGAACTAGCTCTTGTAGACCAGGCTGGTCTCGAACTCACAGAGATCCACCTGCCTCTGCCTCCCAAGTACTGGGACTAAAGGTGTGCGCTGCCACCACCTGGTGTGGATTATACTTTTAAGAGAGCCCCACTGGTTGAGGGATATCCTAATAATCCCACATTTGAAAAGGATTGTCTCCTTTGTGTCCATTACAGGCATGCCTCCAAGGTAAACAGGAAAGAGAGAGATAGCCCATCACCTAAAAAGGAGGTCTATCAGAGGCGGCATTCGTCTGGATACACCAGGTAAGTCAGGATTCATAAGACTGCAACAGAAGCAGCTCACAGCGCAGGCAATGGATAATGTCTGATCCTGCAAAATTGAATTTATTCTTCTGAGAAATGTTTCTTGTCCTTCCCCACCCCACCCCCCTTTTTTTTTCTGAGACAGGGTTTCTCTGTGTAGACCTGGCTTTCCTAGAACTCTCTCTGTAGTCCAGCAAGCTGGCCTTGAACTCACAGAGGTCTGCCTACCTCTGCCTCCCAAGTGCTGGGAATAAAGGTGTGTGCCACCACTACCTGGCTTGTTGTTTTTTGTTTTGTTTTTGTTTTTTTTTGATACTGGGTCTTAACTTGTAAACTAGGCTGGCTTTGAACTTGTGGTCCTCCTACTTCAGCTTCTCAAGTGATGTGGTTATAGACGTGGACCACCATGGCCATACCTGTCTGGTCAGCTTTGAATCATCTGCCCCCAACCTCTTTACCTACTAAGGCACATTGAAAGGATGGAGTCTGGCTGGCTTAGTGGTAAAGCCTTGCTACCAAGGCTGACGTCAGGGTTGGATCACCAAGACACATACAGAGGAAAAAGAGAACAGGTTGTCCTCTGACTTCCACATGTCATCATGGTGCACCCACCCATACAAATACATTTAATAAGATTATAAACAAGAATAGGGTTAGAGAGGTGGCTCACTCAGTATAAAGGGCTTGCTGCATAAGTGTAGGCTTGTTGATTAGCTATTCTAGTTGAATTAATTGGTGAGCTCCAAGTTCAGTGAGAGACCCTATCTCAAAAAATATGGTAGAGAATGGATTGAAAAATGTTATCTGAGCCGGGCGTTGGTGGCGCACGCCTTTAATCCCAGCACTCGGGAGGCAGAGGCAGGCAGATCTCTGTGAGTTCGAGGCCAGCCTGGTCTCTCCAGAGCGAAGTGTATATATATATAAAAGAAAAATGTTATCTGACATTGATTTCCGTCTTTGACATGGACACAAACACACTTACCCACACAGGTTTTACATAAAGTGTCCTCTTGTAGCCCAGGCTGGCATATGTGTGTGTGTGTGTGTGTGTGACCATAGGAGTCAGTTTTATGTATTTAGTGGAGTTGTGTTTTGGTGGGTTTTTTGTTGTTGTTGTTGTTCATTTTTGAGACAGGGTCTCACACAAACAAATTCATCACCCTCTTACCTCATTTCCCAAATTCTGTGACTATGGGCAAGTGCCACCAGCTTAGATGGTGTTTTTTGTTTGTCTTTTGTTTTCATTGCTGTTGTGTTGTTTTTGAGACAGGGTCTTACTAAGTAGCTGTGGCTGTCCTGGCACTCACTCTGTAGACCAGGCTGGCCTTGAACTCACAGTGCTGCCTCTGCCTCCTGAGTGCTGGGATTAAAGGTGTGGGCTACCAGGCCTGGCTAGCCAGCTTAGTGTTTTTGATAGAAAATTTAGTTACCATGGATAACTAAATGTCAAGTTTTCATATTCTAGTTTGTTTCTCCAAATGGGCACTTTTTAAAAAATAGAATTTCGTCATTTTTCCCTTGAAAAAGAAATCTGTGTATCACAAACTATATACAAACTGTAACACCCATTTTTAGAAGCAATAGATATGGATGTCTGACTTCGTTCAGTGGTGACTAATCTGGCTCTTCACTTCCCTTTTTTGTTCTAATATTTAGGTGAATGCCAGGGAAGAAGACCTACCTGTTACATTCTGAGGTCGGCTGTTAAGTCAGGGTGCTGGCATTTAGCTTCATCCCAAAGTGGTGTATTCTTGGGTTGTCTCCATGAATGTGTGTTGTGTACACCTGTACTTGAACATGAGGAGATCAGAGGAGGACATCAGACTCTACAGTAGTTGGAATTTTCTTTGAGCCATCAACCAGCCCCCAAATAAGACACGGAACTTATTATTAATTAAAAATGCTCAGCCTTAGCTTAGGCTTGTACCACTAGCCCTTTTAATTTAATCTAAACTGTTTCTATTCACCTACATTTTGCCTTGGGGCTTTTCTTTCATTCTGTATGTTTTACTTTCCAGGTTCTTCTGTGTCTGGTTGGCTGGCCCCTGGCATTCCCTGGCTTTTCTTTTTTTTTCTTTTTTTTCCCAGCCTAAATTCCTCCTCCTACTTATTCTGCCTGTCTGGAAATTCAGCCTATACCTCCTCCCTTGCTATTGGCTATTCAGCTTTTTATTAGGTGTCTTAGGCAGGCAAGGTAAAATAGCAACGTAATTAAACAAATGTAATACATCTTTACATAGTAAAACAAATGTAACACATCTTTACAAAGTTAAATAATCCACAGCACTCTATCTTATCCCCTGAGCCAGTTCTCTCACTGAACCTGGCTAGGCTCAGTTCCTGGGATTTGCCTATCTTTCCCATTTAATGCCAGTTATGTTCAGCTATGATGCTATGGATTTGAACTCAGGACCTCATTCTTGCACTGCTAGTGTTCTTACCCACTGACCCCCCTCCCTCTCTCCCTTTTTTTTTTTTTCCCAGACAGGGTTTCTCTGTATTGTTTTGGAGCCTGTCCTGGAACTCGCTTGGTAGACCAGGCTGGCCTCGAACTCACAGAGATCCGCCTGCCTCTGCCTCCTGAGTGCTGGGATTAAAGGCAAGTGCCACCAACGCCCGGTTCCTCCCTCCCTTTCTAACCCATGGGTTTTTAAACAACCCTTGTGGAGTAGGAGGTAGCAATAATCACATGGATGGTCCAGTCCTTCGTTCTGTAAGTTGTTAGTAATGAAGACATACTTGCTCTAAGGTTAGGTTCCTGGTTAGCTCTTAGTCTCTATTTCATACTTGTTGTTTTAAAATCATTATCCTCGAGATTGCTGAGTGCAGTTATGAAATCCTTTCCTAAAAGTCTTCATGATTTGTTGGGAACCACCTGACTGAGATGTCAGAAGAAAGGAAACTCATCCTGGCATGGCACTGTTCCTCTTATTTCTTGAGAACCTTGAGCTGGCGAGCATGTGGACCTGCCTGCATGCTGTGCTGCTTGTTTTGTTTTGCTGGGGAAGGGGTAGAACCAATTGGATGGTATCTGTGCTCCACAGAAAGCTATCAGCAGAGGAGCTAGAGCGGAAACGGCAGGAGATGATGGAAAACGCCAAGTGGAGGGAGGAGGAGAGGCTCAACACCCTCAAGAGGCACGCCAAGGAAGATGAGCGGGAGCGCAGGCTGGAGAAGTTGGATTCCCGCTCCGGCAAGTTCATCCAGTAAGTGCTTGTTCATGCCTGGGGCTCACCTGCATAGGCTCCAGGAGGCCGGCGCTTGGTGGTGTTTCTCGTCTCTGTCCAGGGACCTCTCTGTCCTCGGAACTCAGCTTGGGGCCAGCTCCAGTGCTGCTCCCAGTCTCTAGCCAGACAGTGGGAGAGTTTTTATTTGAAGTAGAAGAAGTGGTTGGTATTTTTCCCAAATCACTGAAATTTTTGGCCTTCCTTTTAAGTAAAAATTTATGGCTCAGAAAACCTTTTTTCCAATGAGACTTACTTGTTTTCCAAAAACAGATGAGTTTTCCCTTATGGACATTTAAAAACCCGGTTCCAGATGGAGTCATTTGAAAATCATCTGTGTGGGCTGAAAAGAACTTGTGTGTCTACAGTTGCTTTCTTCTGTCTCCTCTTTTCTAGTCGAATGAAGCTGGAGAGTGCGTCTACGTCCTCCCTGGAGGACCGGGTAAAGCGCAACATCCACTCTCTGCAACGGACCTCAGTGGCTCTGGAGAAGAACTTTATGAAAAGATGAAAAGAATCTCTTCCTGCTCTCCCTGAGTGCTCCAGGGAGGCTGCTGACTCCTTAGAATTCTCTTTATAAGAGTTCGAATGGCTTCTTCTACAGATGAAATATCACCACTGTTCAAAGTGCCCCTTGTCCATTGACTCCTGAAACATGGTACATTCTTTAAAAACCAATGTGACTTGATTTGGGACCCTCAGGAACTTTGGCTGGATGCACTGTGGGATCTGACTGTGTTTTAATGGATGGGCACTAGGCTGTCCTGGAAGGCTTGGTAGCTTGCCACACCTTTTCCCTCTCACCTGAATGAATGGATCATACCTTCCGGAGATCTCTCCCACAGCCACTCAGACAGACTCTGCTTACTGGGACAAATGAACATTGACTTTATAAAGTAGACTTTGTGACAGAATAGCCAAGTGTCAGGAAGAGTCAAGAGAGTGACAAAAAACTGGAAGATAAAACAGTACCAAAAAAAGTCCTAAATGAACTGTTAACTATTTAGTCTTTGAGATGTAATAGTAGGATGTGTATATGTACAAATGTATAATTTTATATATACTTTTAAAAAGCTAGATTTGTGAGAACATTTTGTTTGATGATTTTACTATGTGTGAAGCCACACCAAACCTTGTCAGGAATCAATATGGTAAGGGTCGTGGCTGGCTTTTCTCCCCAAATTTGGTTTGGGAGGAGCTTTGGGTTACTGACAAAATCTAGCTGGGGTAATCCTTCAAATAACCTTTTGATATTTGGTCGTGACTTTAGTCCTCTCCAGATGTGTTAGGTTGCATTCATAGCTACTTACTGGCTTCAGAAAGGACACACCTGCCAATATGTGTTCCCTGTTATTCCTTAGAGTCTCATATTGGGCAGCCCAGTGGTACAGGAAACAGGACCATGTTGCTAGTATGCCTGTGGCCTATAAGAAAATGATGTGGAAGCTATTTATTTCCTGGATGTTTTTGTTGTTTGTTTGTTTGTTTTGGTTTTTTGAGGCAGGGTCTCTTGTAGCTCTGGCTGGCTTTGAACTTCAGATCCAGCATTTACCTCCCAAGTGCAGGGATTCTAGCACTGCACACAGCTGGCTGCTGCTGCCACCGCTGCTTCACTGTTTGTCTTTTGAGACAGGGCCCTTACTGGCTCAGGCTGGCCTCCTGAGTGCTGGGATTACTGGCATGAACCACAGTCTTAACTTCCTAGCTTCTCTTTTATCATGTAATTTAACTAAAAGAGAAAATTTGGGGACTTTTTTGTTTTTTTGTTTGGTTTTTTTCAAGGCAGGGTTTCTTTGTGTAGCTTTGGAGCCTTTCCTGGAATTTGATTTGTAGACCAGGCTGGCCTCAAACTAACAGAGATTCATGTGCCTCTGGCTCCTGAGTGCTAGGACTAAAGACACAAACAACCACCACCACCACCCCCCTCACCGAGTGCTGGGATTAAAGGCAGCGCCACAAATCCCGGCTACTCATGTGTCTTTACTACCATTCCTTTTTCTATTCTTTTATCAGAAACCCTCGTTTGGCCAGGAAACCTCTAGGTTCCCTCTTTAAAAAAAAAAAAAAACAAATAAATTAAAAACAGATTTATCCTAGCCCAGGTTGACCTGAGCTATAGATCCTCCTGTCCCAACTTCCGGAGCTGTGATTACAGACCTTGTGGCCCTCAGAGGCCCCTCTTTAACCCACACATTAGTTAAGCCGTTTCCTTCTTCTATCGGTCCCTGTCCCTAATTCAGCCTAAAACGTACTTGGATTTTTTAAGCACTAAAATGCTAGGTACTGTAATTCTTAAAACCCAGTTTCCCCCCAGAGTATGTAACATTATTCATTTAATCACTTCATCCGGCTGCCCTGTGCTATGGGTAATTATGGCTTTTATTTTATTACTTGGTAATAATAAAGGCTACATTTATTTTTGTAACTGTGTAAGTAAAGAGCGACCGACCACCTGCGCGGTACTGTTTTCATATCCCAGCACAAATGTTGACCTGTGATTCGTGTTGTATACAGAGATCCTTCGTCCAAGAATTACGTAATAAACCTTGGGTAGTTTACTAAGATTTCTTGGAGCAAGAATGAGAAGATTAGGATAGGCGTCCGCGGGTGCTAGCGGTCTCTTAACCTGACCCTCAGTTTACAGAAGGCCAGGCAGCAGGTAGGTGGGCGCGCGGCCCATTCATAAAACCTACGAGTCCCGGCCTGCTCCTCTGATTGGCCTCCAGGAAAAGGGGCGTGCCCGAGGGTGGAGCGCGCCGTCGGCCCAGGGGAGTGGGAAGGTCCACGCTCGGGTGGAGCGAGGGGGCGGCCCCTGGTTTTCCAGGCAGGACTTCCTTTCCCCTGGCCGCGTTATTCCTCTCTCCCCCGGGGTGGAGATGGTATGTGCCAGTCTCCTCGCATGCCGGCCCCGCCACCCCTCCCGAAGCTGTGGCGCTGCCGCCATCTTGGTACCTCAGGTTGAGGCCAAGCCAGACCCCGGCTTTGGGAGGGCCCGAGCAAGGAGTCTTTCTTACGGAGTGCCTCAGGGCTGTCCGTCCCTCCCTTCCTCAACCCCGCCCGTGG